TTCCTTGTGCTTTGGCTTCTCTACGCTCCAGTGCAATCTTCAGAGTTTCTTCTGACATCCATTTTGGTCTTTTCTTCCTCTTCTGTCTTTGTAATGAGTGTTTGTACTCTTCCTGGATGATGCCTTTGACATCCTCCCACAACTCATCTGGTCTTCGCTCATTAGTGTTCAAGGCCTCAAACCTGTTCCTGAGATGATTCTGCAATTCAGGTGGGATGAAATCAAAGTCATATTTTGGCTCCTGTGGATTGATATTGACTAAAAATTTACAACAGATTAAATCATCTTCCTACAAAGGGAGTACCCTGTTGACCACAATCTTGTCAGAAGGAAATAGTGTTAAAAAACACACACAAAATCTAAAAATAAAGTGAGAAATTCAAGACCTGACTGGATGAAATATTGCTATTTTAACTTATATCACTTAAGTTTTCTATCATTACTTCACTGGTCTCTTTACCAAACACTCAACTCCAGAGCCTCCATAATATTATACTATTCTCATTTAACTAAGGCTTCTGAGGCTCCTCTTTCACCAGCTCTGATTTCTTTTAAAGTTCATTTTCTCCAGACCCTGTCCCACGCCCATTGCTGGTCTAAATAACTCTACATTCTTCTGTGAGTGCAGTTACTTTTTGTGCCATCAAGCTTCAGCACTGGAAAATCAAACCTTGGTAAAAGATGGATACGCTCCAGGATGAAAGCTGAGTAGGAGTCCAGCTACTTTTAAGTGTTTGATAGGATCTTATTTCTAAATCAACACCTTCCAAATCTATGATTCCCCTTGAACTCAAGGAATAATTGCAGCATTATAATTAGTACATGTGTTTTAGAAACATCAAGTGATTGCTTGTTTCTTGCTGATTTCTGAGCAACTTGAATTTTATCTTGTTTATCCACTGCCACATACCTAGTTAATTGCCTCTTACTTAGGAGAACCTCAGTAAATTTTAGAAGAATGAAAAATATTTTTTAAGGAAATACTCTACTTTTTTCCTACTGAGTTGTTCATCTTTTCTCTGTACTCAGTTCTCAAATATAGCATCTTTATTACTGTTGAGTAAGAATGCACTCATAGCTGACCCTCCATTTGGTTTTTCAGAGGCAGAAAACTGCAAGGGAGGAGACTGCCCATCTTTATCCAATGGAGCAGATGGTGGATTTGAACTGTGTGGCTTTGCAGCAGCAGCGCAACTCCTTACTACTAAGCCACCAGAGCTTCCTCAAATATAGTACCTTTATAGAATTTTATCTTATAGTTGTAATTTTTATTATTTATGTTATTAGTATATTAATATCACATTATATATTTATAGAATATTAACCCCTCAGTGTGTTGGTCTTTTAAATTTGGCTGATGATAAAAAGTACAGGGTTTAAATTTACATGTTAAGTACTTTCTTTTACTCTTTTATTTTTAGATAATCCATTTTCAGCCAGAGTTTAGATAAATATTTCCTTTGACACAGTCAAGTTTAAGTTGCTAGAATGGTACACAAGTAGCATGTTTAGTTCAGGGCGCTAAACAACAGAGCAAGGGACTTTTCACATTAATGACCTTTCTGTTTTGTCAATAATTTAATATAACAGGAAATGTTCATCAGTTTAAGATATTGGAGAGGGTGTTTTGCCTTCACACAAATCATATAGTTTGGAGCAGCACTGCATAACCTCTTATTTGAACTAATAAATGTATATTGAAAGCTTGACTTCTGTTAGGAATGTGCTAAGTGATAAAAACATAAACAACCAAAATAAGTCTCCCTCCTCAAGCATCTTACATTTTAGTAGGGATAACAACAAATTCTATTGGTTTTACTTTCAAAATATATTCAAAATTCTTCATTTCTCACTATTTCCACTGCTACCTCTCTAAACCAAGGACCATCAACTCTCTGGGATTATAAGGAGTCCTGGAATGGCCTTCTTGCTTCCACTACTCGTTCCTTTAAAGATTAAGTCAGATCATATCGCTTTATTCAGCCAAGACACCCCAGATCTTCATCCCAAAGTAAAATCTAGTCCTTAGAAGATCCTATAGCCTTTCTTAGTGCTGCTTCATTCAAATTTAGTGAAACTTCTACCTCTGAATATTTGTACCTGCTGTTCCTCTGACAAGAATGTTCTTCCTGCCACCTGTACGGCTCATCCTACACCTCTTTCAGCTATTTGCTAAATTATTACTTGTCCATTGAGGCCTTTAATTGCAGTATCCTACTGTTAGTGAGTGTAGAACAGTGACTATAAACATGCCTGTAGATTATGCTGTTTAAAAAATATTGAGCATTATCTATGAATTCTAAAAAAGATTCTTTTGGTTCCTTTTTAGGCTTTAGAAAAGCCTAAAAGGCTACCAATACTCAGTGACAGTTTTAAAGAATAACTTACTTTTATCCTAAAGCACTTTTCTTTGAGGGTCTCTGTGTAGAGCTGTATTCCAGCACACTGTGAACTAGCTTCATATGTTATTGCTTCATCGTGGTTCTGCTGGTCCTGCTTTGTTATAAAGAAACAGAT